AAAATAAAACGTATATTTCTAGACATCTGCTAGAATCTCTGCTCATAAGTGTGCACATCATGTTTTACGATAGTTCCATGCTGTTGCGTGAGTAAAACAAATATTAGGAGTAGTGCTCTCTAAATGCCAAAGCGTGAGTTGGCAGCGTTTGATAGCTTTCACAGCATAGCTTCGTCGGACATTCCGTTGATTTGCCTGAATACTTCAGCCGTCCATTTCCTCGCTATCGTGTGTCATTCCTGGAAATCCAAAACACAGGAGCATTATTATATATATTTAGATATAACGCTGGTCAGTACCCTAGAGCCAACCTCTTGGTGAAGTTAATTCCACCCTCAGCTGAGTATTGCTGCTCATTCAGACATCCAAATTTATCGCGCGCTCATGGAAGAGAAAAGGGTGTTGAAAGCAGAAGGAATAAAATAAGCTTATAAACGATCTTTCACTACAGTGTAAAGAAGTATGTATTTTAAAAATGGTAGACATAATGAAGCCGCATAAAGTTCTAATAAAATTTGTAGAATAAAAAGGTTTGTCAACGTTTCCTGTTACTTGTTGACTCTGAGCACCACTACGCTCAGCTAACAGAGGAACTAAAATGTACAGTTTCTAGCTTAACTACAGTAGGTCATAGAAACTTAAATGGCTATGCTTGATAAACCTTGAGTGGTTGATACGATAAAAGAAACATAACTGAACAATGCGCAATCGGTTGCAAGCTATTTGTCGACTGCTTGTAGTGTCATTCTTTTTCCATGCTAAAAATCGCGTATTGGTTCCTCTAGCAAAAACCGCGTAAGAGAGAAGGAAACGGGTATATGGATTGTTCTTTCTTATAAATAGGGTGATGCTTCTAAGAAAATGCAAGATAGTTCAAGATTATCGGTACTTATTAGGTACGACATGGTTGACCGAAAATTGGGTTTTCTGAGCCCATGCGATAGTAAACAAAAATAGGTGAATAAAACTCGTTAAAACGCTAAGAAGCCATGCAAAAGGTTATTGCTACTCTAACCGTTTTACATGGCCTAATTAGTCCTAAGTTGTATGGCCTCAGCTTGTAGCTTTTTTTGGATGCTGTGTTGCAAAGCACTCTAAAGCTAGAAACCTCAGCTTTTACTAACGCTGAGTGGTGGCGCTTACATATGCGCAAGTACTGAGGATAGGTTCATACGCAGTAGTCAGGGAAGCTCTTGATGCAGTCAGCCCATATCAACCTATCACTGTCACAACTTTCCCTGATGGATACTGCGAGATTTATGACAAGGTAAAAATTTATATAACCACGGACGTAGGGCAATCGTTAGTAACCCACCAGAGGTTTGTTACTACGAAGAGACAAAGGAATAGCAGCAAAATAACGATGCACTACGAAGCGTACAATTCGCTGCAGCTGATGGGCGTGGTTGTGAGAGCTATAGTTTTAAAAGAAAAAGATTATTGTGCCTTGAATTTTGTGGCACATTATGGTGAACTTCTCTGACTGTTTTTAGGCTCCTCTTCTGTTAAGCTGGGTTGAGGCAAGTGTTCCCAATGTAAGTCAAAACGACGGTATGGGATGTGGATTTGGCAATAGAGCAGCCATCACACTAGCGATTTATCTGACCGAAGCTGCTCCAATACGTCAGAGTAGGTGTATGAATGACAATAAGCCAGGAGTAGTAGCGTGTATGCAACAAGTAAGAGATGTCTGTCCGCCCATCATGATGTCAACACCTGAGGTCCCCGGAGTTAGGTAAACAGTTAATTCTGCGTTGCTGGCCAAGGTAAAGCATAGTGGTAGGCAAAAGTTTTGGATATTCGGCTAGCCGCGGTGACGGGCTACTATAGCGCTTGGCTGGCCTTCTTGTTAGTCCAATGCAACGCAAAACAGTGGATGGCTGGATGGCACAAAAGGCTATTGAAAAGGATCTGGTACTTTATGCTGTTCAGCAACCAGTGTGTTTAACGTTAATTGGTGCACGTTCCTCACATGTGAAAGCTGGGGACTAGTATGCCAAGTTAGGAGGGAATGGAATTATAAATGCTGAGGCCGAAGAATATGTCGCTGGCCGTATTTGTTTAGCAGAACCGGTGGACTACATTTGTCTGAAGTACATATTGTAATTAAAACTTAACAGGGCTTCAACAAACGGTAGCCAGGGAGGATGAATAGTAGCTATGTAACGTACCTGTCATATGCCAACTGTGCATGCACATGAAAGTGCTTTCAGTCCGAAGGCTCAATAGCAAACTAGTAACTCCGTTCCAATGCTAGCTTCTGTTGGCTCGGTGTATGTTTCCAGTAACAAGAGCTTCTCGAGTTCGACGTTTGCAACGTGGTCTAGATCCTGTGGGACCACCCTAATCGACAGAGGTCAATTGGGCCTTGGTATAAACACTATTCGGATCCGCACGCGTCGAGCTATTTGAGTAGCACTAATGGACACAATAATAATAATTTTTATAATTATAATAATAATAATAATGTACTAGCTATACATTCAATATTGAGTTACCACGGTCTGGCAGGTATATTAGGGTAGGAGAAATCGATGACATTCGGATGAGGATCAGAGCCAACTTTAAGCATCAGGTCACCTATATTGCAAGATTGTTGCGTCACGGCTAGCTAGTGAGCCGACCGAAGTGCTTAACCGGCCGTTAGTTAAGCAGCGGTAAAGGCTAATATTAGACTCAAGTGGGTGGCCCAACCTCCGCAGTAAGTGAATATCCCCTAATCAGCGTTTGTTAACCTCGGGGCTCGTTCTCGATGGTCACTGCCAAAGAAAACTAGACAAACTAACTGGACACAGAAAAGCCCTAAGTCGCTCGTGTGCTATGCACCTGCCGCTACTTCCCTGGGCCGCGAACACCACATTTAACCTCGCGTTGCGAAGGCGAGCAGTTCTCACCTCACCCCAATCCCGCCCTGCGCCTGTGGAAAAGCGGGTGTAATAAAGCCTACGGCGCTTCGGGGCTCAATGCGCTTGAATCTCTAGTGAGCCTCGTCACCCCACTCCTCACTGTCGGTGACCGCCTTAGCACTGTCAACCTCACGCAGGTTCCCCTCCAAATAAGCCCCACACCGCAGCGACGCATCATAGGCGCTCCTACGAACGCAATTTCACATCGCGCGTGCTGGAATAGAATACGCTCACTAACGCCCCATGATTCTCGCTATACATCACTCCATAATCTTAATGACAAGTATTTCAGTGTTACTGACGCTAGTCGTCAGGCGTGCTTCCCGTCGTCATAGGTAAATGGTTACCACTGAAACTGCTGCATGGAGCCTAGGTTCGTGTTCGTTAACTCGGGACCGCGGATCACTTAACCTTGGTGTCTTTATGTTCCCTGCACCATGGCCCCCCACGCATCACGCTCACCACTTATCGATGGCTACCGCCCCCACCCCGCCACGTGTGCGGCCCCTCGTCACGCCCCTAACGCACCCGCACCCCACCTTCACAAGCACACGTCTACGCTCACACGCCCATCGCCTCATAGCTACCCCCCCCGAGCGCCCCTCGCTCGTCCCGCCCCGCAAGACACAGCTTCTCCCGCCCACGTCATGGTAACGCGCGAATCGGAACGCCCTCCTTCGCGGCAGCGGCCTCGGGCAGCCTAGGGACTCCTCCCCAGCTGCTCTGACGCCATCCTACTTGCCCCCTGGCACAACACTCTACACCTCCTGGCGCACTAGGAATCGCGTATTGGGTCCCGTCGCGCTACGAGCGCGACACTCGCCCCTGGTACAGTGCTGCGCCTAGGCGGCATGTCCTCACCAGATCAGCACAATCATCGCCGCGCGGCTTCATCTCTGCTAGCAGCAGTAGCCTCCCTTTCCCTCGCCTGCCATCCACAACCGCACCCATCCCACGGACTGACGGCCTAACTGTAATTAGTATGCGCCGCCCTCCCACCGCCCCAGGACACCAGTTCATATAGGTGACAATACTCGCAATAATACTACAACCCTCAATCTTAAGGCCACCCGCGCCCCCGCTCCACCACGTCATGCTCCCCAAACCCTCCTCGCATAACCACACGTGGCCGGCACGCCTCGGCCCACCCACCGCGCGCAACAAGCTCCCGCCAACAACATTTTGCCACGGTACCTAGCACTCAGGGTCCTATCATACGACACCAGCGCCCGCGGCGCGTTAGACAGCTTTATGCGATCTCTAGCACTCCTAAACAACACGGTGCCCACACACAAGGTTCCCTCCCGCACTGTCCCGCTCACTGCTGCACTTTACGCTCGCCAGCCGCGAATGGCAAGACTGCACGGGCACTCTCTCGCATCAGGATCGCGCTCCTACGCGGTTCGCCAACGCCGCCCGCCGTTGATCCCGACCACCTCCACACCGCATCGCGCATTTCTCTCTCCATGCTCCGCGCTATACACGCCCTCGTCCCTCCTATCCACCACCACCCTATGCTGTCCTTCCCCGTCTCTACGTTGCTAAGTCACCCGCCTAACCCATCTAAGTATAACCAAACATAATTAAATAACAAACGCCGCCCCTTGATGCTTCAAATTCATCCGAGGCACAACCAAATCACATGCATCGAGCCAAGGCTTTAAAAGACAGTTGTGCGTATCACGTCACGCCGTAGGCCTCTCGGGCTTCAATCAGTTTGTAGTTGCGAACAACCGCGCCCCTCCAACGCATCCTGCATCGTTTCGGGACCTGTGCCCTTGCTCCCCCCCACACTCCCACTCCCGAAGCGTCCACTCCCAGCCCCTCACACCCATCCTTACCGCCCCGTACGAAGTCATGTCGGAGACCCCCACAGCCCCGACGAACCTTTCCCATTTCATCACACCACCCTCTGCGCCACCGACGCCTCTACAACTCCGCCCCCACACCCTATACCCCAGCCCCACAGCCCCACCCCTTGCCTTTATATCACAGCACACACACTCTCTTGTGGCACTTTCGCTCCCCTAGCGCGATGCAAACGCTTGCCAGGACACACGTGCTCCTACCATACACTCCACTACACGCCCTACCATGACGCCCCCCCCCCCCACTACACACCCGCCCCGCCACCACGCTTTCCACGCACCCTTGCAGACACCGTCCTCCATTTATCTCAAGATTCCTCCCACCCCAGAGCTGCCGCATCCCCAAGCCACAGCCGCTGCACCGCCACTGGTTCTCCCCCCACCTCATATCCGCGTTCTTCCTATCTCGCCCAGACCACACTATACACACTACCCGAACGCTCCCCCGCCGCTCCCACCCATATTTCACTCACGAGCTTGTATGCTGCGCACCCAGAGAGAATTGATTCACGGTGGACACTGACACGCAATCGATTGTTGAGGTCCATTGAGGAGACGACGACAACTCCACCTCCCACAATCCCACGCCTCGCGTCTAGCCCCTAGCGCCTCGCCTGCACCCCCCCAGTGTGAGCACAAAAGTCATAATTAGTCACGCGCCACACCCGTCTGCGCTCCCGTTTAACCCCCCCTCCCTCAGATGTACTCCAATGTATTCAGGAGTATGAAGACTATTGTCCACCAGCTTTACGCGACAAGCTAATCGCAGCACATAGGCGGGCGTGTCCGGGTATCTTCGTGCACAGCTCGAGTCCTCTTTCGCGCCTGTACAAGCATGATCCCATGGAAGTCCGTGGCGCCGGCTTCGTTCAACGCCTTTGGCCCTTGTCGCAGCAAAAATTGTTCCTGTCAGTCCCCTAAACACAGCTCTCAACAAGACCGCTTACGGGACCCCTTCGGCAGCCCAGAAAAGGGCAACGCGCTCGCCTCCGGGGCTCACCACCGGAGACAATCCGACATCACCAAAAACAGCGCCCATGGAGCCTTAAATATTGTTACCACGCCTCTTATGTTATAACGTTTGCGTCCCGCCATTGCCTCGCCACAAATCAGCCTTCTCGCTACCACTGGCGCAACAATACATATTACGCCTGCCCACCATCCATTGACGCAGCTCCATCTTCCCGCTACTTATGCCCACGATCCCCCAATGCACTAAGACACCCGACTTAGAATCCCATCTATGCAGCGCGCAGACTACTTCGCACAGCTCCGCCACATGCCGCTACCGAGCAAAGAGCCTTGTACAGTCTGCACCCCAACACCGCTACCAACTAGCTCATAAGCTCATCCGCACCGGTTTACGCGTATGAGCCCAAAATTGCGTAGGGGCTCGAGAGCACAAAAAGAGTTCAGGACTATTTGGTTTGATTCTGTACCGCGCCTCAACACACGCTCACCAGCAGTAGTTTTGCGTAATACGCTAGCGCGGACGCAGATTGTGTGAAAATAAGTAGGTTGCAGCACACAGAGATCAAGGGTCAATTGGCCGGTAGGGCCAGCGGCAAAGACTGAGATGCAGATACTCATATCCATCCGCGCCAATACAAGGCGCTCTCTCGCTAGCACGATACCTCGCGCACTCACCGAGGCTAGTCCCTTCACATCTGCACCACTAGGCCTCCTCATATCCCTCTACCCGATCACTCCGCCCCGCAATGCAAGCACAGTTGCCCACCTCTTGACTGTAGCATCCCCAACTAGTGTTCCTACCAACCCTGCGGCCTCCCCCGGCTGCACCCTACCCCATCATCTCTCTAACGCGCGCCGCCGCACCCACATCTTCCGGTCCGGACGCCCCTCGCGCCCACCAGAGATCCCCTCCTGTCTCCGCTCCCGACGACCAGATGTCGCTCTAGCACACCATTACCATCAAATATACTAGAACGCCCGCCCCAGTTGCGCTCCACTCCCTCAACCCAGCCTCGTTCTCCGCTCACTCCCTCCCCTCGGCCGCGTCCTCAACTGCCCGTCTGCACAACCTGTCAACAACACACTACTAGACCACGCCACAGGAAGACCCGGTGATCACGTAGCTCCTCAACCCCAGAGAGCTCCATCTCACGCGAACACGAAGATACCGGTTTCGTATGCGTCAGAGATTCCCACCATCCGCCCAAAGCGCGTAGACCATCCCCACCAGTACTTGACCCATCAGCCCCTCACCACGACATCTCCCGCCCCGCCTGCCGGGATCATATGCTCTACAGCACTTCACGCTGCGCCGCACACTCCGACTGATCTACACACCCGGTCCACCAGATACCCCCCCCCTGCGAGCCCTACCCAGAACGAGAGTAACAGCCTGACATTAGTATCAGGCCTCCGCACCTGCCCATTCCACTCGCGCACTATAGCCAAGCACTGTCGCATCCGCGGGCCAGCTAAAGGCCAACTCGTCACGCCGCATCACTTCTCGCCAATTAGCCACCCTGTCTCCTCCTATAAGAGTCCCAGCTGCGGTGTACTCTCGTCCCAGCACAAAACGTGATCACCCCCACGATGCATCTATACCGTAGTCAAAACTCACCCATCCCCATCGTCGCAACGCGTGTGATGCAAACAATTCAAGACAGTAAGTGTTGGAGAGATGAGGAGTGACTCCTGGCGCAACGATCAATGCTACTTACAATGAATCGCTGCGGCTGAAGAGTGGTGACGTAGGTAATACGAAGAACTGATAATGGTACTAAGGGAGAGAGTACCGACACCTAGCAGTGGCATTAGGGTGAAGCCTTCAAGTTGCTAGTGGATACCAAATGTGTCCCAGAATAAGTCAGCAGACAGCAAATGTATGTGACGTAGGCAGTCCTAGAGAGGAGTAGAAGAATGGCTCTTAGCGGGCTCTGAATAAGCGCAGAGATGGTTGGAGCCTGCAGAGGATGGCTCCTGTTAGACAGAGATAATACGAAGAACTGATAATGGTACTAAGGGAGAGTATCGACGGCTAGCAATGGCAATGGGGTGAAGTCTTCTAGTGTCCCAGAATAAGTCAACAGACAGCAGTTGTACATAACGCAGGCAGTCTCAAAGGATGAAGGTTGGAGATAAAAGAGAGTGGCTCTGAGCTCACTCCGGAAATGCTTGGGGCCCACGACCACTGTCGTTACTAAATAGCGATGCTGAGGTTAGGAGGATCGACAGATAATGACGGTATGAAAATCTTTCGGCTGTCAGATATAGCCATCCCATTAAGCAGATTAGTCACTAGTGGATTCCTGCAGTGTCAAAGAATATATCAGCATGCCAGCGAAGGTGAGTGATACAGACATTCTAAAAGATTACAGGATTAAGAAACAAGGAATGTCTTCTAGTAGCTCTGGATATGCGCAAGATGTATGGAGCCTACAACGAATCGCTGCAGAAAACGTGATGAAGATAAGAGGAGGGAAGGATAATGGTGCTAAGAAAGAGAACTAGCGGACAGAAACTGAATTAACATTAAGCCTTCTAGTTACTAGGAGATACTTACAGTGACAGAAGAAGTCAACAAACTCGCGAAGGTATGTGATGCAAACAGTTTAACAGAGTAAGTGCTGGAGAGCTAATAAGTGGACCCCAGCGCAAAGAGGTATGCTACCTACAATGACTCGTTGCAGCTGAAGAGTGGTGACATAGGTAATACGAAGAACTGATGATGGTGCTAGGGGAGAGTAGCGGCGGTTAGCAATGGCATTAGGGTGAAACCTTCTAGTGGATGCCTAAAGTGTCCCAGAATAAGTTAACAGACAGCAAACGTGTGTGCCGCAGATATTCGTAAAGGATGAAAGTTGGAGATGAAATAGAGCGGCTCTTAGCAAGCTTCGGATGTCCGCAGAGATGATTGGAACCTAGGACCATTAGTTGCTACTAAATAGAGGTGTTGAGTTTAAGAGGATAGACAGATACTGGCTCTATGTAAAGGGAAACCAAATCTCTTGATTCTGGGAAAGAGGCACCATTATTGCTCACTTGGTCGACCAGTTTGCGTATATCTTCTGAAGCATCGGGTGCCGTCAGAGACGGTGTAAGTAAGCCGGTTGGCTTTTAGCCAGCTAGTTAGAAGGCGTTAGGTAGCATCGAGCAACTTATCCAACCCCTTCGAAAGGGATGGAAATTAGGTACACTCAGTAAAGTAACGATTGAAATGGAGAACTTATGGCAGTTTATGCTTGTACCGTTACGCTATGGACAATCTTCGTACCTGCTGCTAAACAAGAATAGATAGAGTAAAGCGACGATCCGGAATCATCCTGAGACCAAGAAGTAGTGTAACGCGGGAATTGCATAACGGTTGACGAGGTCTGGATGCGGGCAAGTAGGTGGGCTATGGGAGTGCGTAAATTAAGGTTGAAAGGCTGAGTGCTTGTAGAAATTCCCTCATGGAGGATGCAGGAAGTCATCAGCGATGGCAGGACTGGGCTGAATGAGGCGTCAGTGATCAAGAGGCTACAGTAGGCTGGTGCTCATACAGTCAGATGTAAAACAGTCATAGGCATTGCTGGTTTCTAACATAGCCGTCAGGCTAAGTCTAAAGCGTAGATAAGGGGGGTGCGGCGAAGAACAAAGTGATGTAGAGCGAAGGTTAAAATGCCAACAAATATAGGATAAGGTGGCTATGCGAGTGATCAGACTTCTGAAGACGAGTAGTATGCGGTCTATAGCTTTTAAGGCAGTCTGACAAGAATAAGGCCCTGATAAGCATTTTCGGGAATTTGGCCAAAATGGTTAAGAATGTGACGATGATGCTATGATGCTGACGTATCCAGGTCGAAAGAGGTGTGTCTCGTTTTACAGAGAATATACCGTTTATTTATTTATTTATTTAAGCAATTGTACCATAATGCTAATGTGCTGCCGCCAAATACGATGTCAACGTTTGCAGACGATCGCATTCACACTATTGCGTTCAACCTGAACGAAAGCAGTCGAGCTCTACGCTTACCGAAGCCGACACATCCCGGCCCTGCCGGAGTTCCATCTTCCTTATTATTACTCGGAGGCCGGAATATTCCAATACTTCTTCGCAACGTTTTCATCCTCTCCATAACGAGCGGAAGCTACCCAACCGTATGGAAATACCCCATAGTCGTTCAAAGTCACAAACGAGCTTGTCGCCAAAATATCGACGACTATCGACCTATACGCCAAACACCCTTTGCGTACAGTTATGGAAAGGATAGTCAAGAAGGGAACGCTTCATTTCCTACTGCAGCGCAATCCAAGAAATGGGTCCCAACACGGGTTTTTGCCCGCTAAATATTGTCAAACGTGCCAGTTTAAATTCTTGAACTACGTGACACACTCCATTGACTCGGGGCAAGCACTAGTCATTATCTTCTTGGACATGAAAAAAACGTTTGACCGGGTTCTACGCAGTGGACTGTTGACAAAACTACCTGTATTCAGTGTCACTGGCTCTCTTCTTTCTTGGTTTTTTACCTCTCTAGCCGAACGCAGTCAGTTACGCTAGGTGATACATAT